TCTCTCTCTCTCTCTCTCTCTCTCTCTCTCTCCTCTCTCTCCTCTCTCTCTCTCTGTGGTGTGTGTGTGTGTGTCGGGTTCTCTGTGTGTGTGTGTGTGTGTGTGTGTGTGTGTGTGTGTGCGTTGGTCAGTCACGTCCTTTGGCTTGACGAAATCCCGCACAGCCTCCCCCACGGTCGTTTGCAAAGTCGGTACGCGATTCTGCCTTCCTCCCCCCTCTCACCTTCCCCCACCGCTACAGGACCCACCGGCTTGTCTCTTGGCTTACTCATTAGCCCTGCTCTCTCGCCATGCTCGCCTCAAAAACGGAAACACGACATTTTGTTTGTGCGTTTGTGGGCGTGTGGGTGTGTCCTTTTTTTCTGCCATCCTCCAGGCGTAAAATATTCCGTCTGTTTTCCAGTATTTTCCAGTAGACCGCGTGCAAACACAATCCCCCACCACCGCCGTCTCTGCTTTTGTCGTGTCCTTGGAGCCGCTGAGCCAGGTATAAAAATACACCGACACATAGGTCCCCGCGAAGGTGCTGCGTCGTGTCGCGAGAGCGCGCGTGTGTGTTGTGTGTCGCGTGTGCGTGTGTGTGTTTGGGTGTGTGATCGGTTTGCTTCTCAGCTTTTCACCGCGACTTTGTACTCTGTAATGTCGTTTGGAGCGACGAGGAGCTAACAACAGTGAGGTGGCCTCCTTTCACCGCCACTTAAAAATGAGCCGCTTTACTTTTTCAGCCGGGCGAGAGAGAGAGAGGGGGGGGATGTATCGCATCAAGCAGTGTCGTTCCCCTTCAGAAACGCTGCGGGAGAAATGAAACAAAAAAAATAAAAGGAGAGAGAGAGAGAGAGAGAGAGAGGCGGTAATACATCATTACAGCTGCTCCTCCCGGCGTGGGTCGTCGTGCTATTCATTCCGACGACTTGAAACTTAGTGAAGTACCGGCACGTGGCACCGCCCACGCCCAGAGTTCACTGCGATCTTTTTTTTTACGCTGCACCATGCGGCACCATGTCTTCATCAAGTTGGCTAAAAGAACCGCGCGCAAAAAAAAAAAATTTAAAAAAAATGAGAAAAGAAATGGCGTGAAACTTGTTGCACGGCAACGGAGGTGGTTAACGCTGATCCCCCGGTTCGATACCGCACCCGGAGAGTGTTCAAGATGCATGTCGCGTCGGCGAACTGGCTTTAAATAGCGCGGCGTGGCACGGCGTCGCTTCGCAGCGGATCAAATGACGTCACTGCCGCGCTCGACGCGAACGCTGCGAAAAATTCGAGTCACGGGCCGCACCAGGTTGCCTCCGGTATCGAGGCACGGCGGCATGCCACTGTTTTGTGGGTTGGCACCGCGCGAGCAGGGCTGTACCCTTTGTCGGTCCCGCGCGTCCCGCGGCGGCAGTCAGGCACAGTCAGGCCAGCAAGGTCACTCGGCTGACCTTTCCAAAAAGCTGCTAAAACAATTTCCCCCTCGTTTCTGCGCGTTTCTGGCTCCTTGGATTTCACTTTGAGAGCCGCCGACGCGTCCCTGTTGCCCGGAGGCCCTGGAGGTCCTGGGTCCTGGAGGGCCTGGAGGGCCTGGAGGTCCTGGAAAAAGGCATGCTCTCCAGATTGCCTGGAGGTCCTGGAGGTCCTGGAGGTCCTGGAAAAAGGCATGCTCTCCAGATTGCCTGGAAGCCCTGGAGATCCTGGAGGTCCTAGGTCCTGGAGGTCCTGGAGGTCCTGGAGGTCCTGGCCTGGAGGTCCTGGAAAAGGGCATGCTCTCCAGATTGCCTGGAGGCCCTTGAGGTCCTGGAGGAAGCCAACGCGTCCAGGCTGCCCTCCCAGCCGCGGGGGAACGAGTGGTTCCGACATGCAGATCGTCTCGTCCGCATCGCTGAGTGGCTACTCTTCCGGGCTGGCAGCTCCAGCTGGTCCGGGCCGCAGACTGATTCCGAGAGTCGTCGCTCTGTCTCCCTCGCGCTCATGGGCATCAAGAGAGAGACGGACAGTCCTGCTGGTGCGCCGCCGCTTTGTCTGCGCCGTCTCTGTGGTCTCTGTCTCTCTCTCGCCCAGGCCGTGGCTGCGGATAATCCGGTACGGGGAATCGTGGGTGGCCCCTAGCCTCCAGGAAACACGGCTCCGTAATCTCCAGGAAGCGGCCGAGCGGCGCGTGGGAGAAAAGCGAGTCCAGCCCGGGGCTGCTGCCGGCTGGTGCTTGGCGTGCTTGGCGTGCTTGGCGTGCTTGGCGTGCTTGGCGTGCTTGGCGCCACGGATCGGATTTCAAGCTGCTGCTGCTGGGTTGAACTCCCGGTGCTTTCCGATTTTTTTAAAAAAATATTTTCTGCGATGAGAGGCGGCTTGGCCTGCGGGCTGTACCTGGCCGGGCCCCACGCCGCGGCTGTCGGGGCAGTGGGGGCGCTCGACGACAGTACGACAGCGCAGGTTGTCCGCGAGGCCGCGGGGGGCGCCACCGGTCAGCGCGCCGCCAAGCCACGCCATGCCGCCTCCAGGGGGCGCCAGCGTGCGTGGCCGTATTGATCCGACCCGCCCCCGCGCCACGTGTGCCGTCTCCGTCGCACCCGCTGCAGCCCCGGGGCCGCGCGTCGCCCTGCCTCTGTCGCACCTGCGGGGCCCCGGGGGCTCGCGGACCCCCAGCGCCGGCCGCGGAGGCGTCGCGAACTAGCGGCCGGTGGAGGGGGCTGTTCATTCATGAATCGGCGGGCAGGTCGTGGTGGGGGCGGGCCTGCCTGCGTGGGCGTGAGGCCTGGTGAGGCCGCGCCGGGGTGGGGGCACTGTTGCTTCGTGGCGGACGGGGGGGGGGGGGGGGGTGGCTGTTGCTGGTGCCCCTAGCGCCACTACCCCGCACGGCCCGGAGCCCCGGACCACCACAGCCGCCACCCACCTCTCGGTTCTCTCGGTTTGTGTGGGCGAGCTTTCGCGTTTAATATAGGGGAATTGTCCGTGGCTGCGCTCGCCGACAAGGCAGGTCGAGGGGCCGCCCCGCCGTGCAGCCAGGCAGCCAGCCAGGCAGCCAGCCAGGCATAGCCAGGCAGCCAGGCAGGAACGCAGCATATGTTGCCGAGATGCGGTCCTCTCCCTCGCACTCCATGTCTTTCTTTCGGCGGCATCGCTGACGTCACGGTCATGTGGGCCTCGGCACGCTGGCGGTATGGCAGCTCGGGGACGTAGAAGACCAGCGCAGGCGGTGGAAACGACCATTAGATTTGGTGGGGTAGATGGTTCGAGTCATATTTAGCGACTCTGGCTGGAGCTCAAAACGCGTCTCGAGTTTCCGCCGCCTGCGCCGGTCTTCTGGCCCACTGTGCGACGCCACCAGAGGTCTGCTCCCTCGGCAGCCCTGGGGAGCCCCTGCCACGGGCGGGCTAGGCAACACTCCGGCATCGGTGTGGGCCGCGTGGCCTATCCGCCGTCTCGCAGGCTGGCGGTCCCTTGGCGGTCCCTTGGCGGTCCCTTGGCGGTCCCTTGGCGGTCCCTTGGCGGTCCCTTGGCGGTCCCTTGGCGGTCCCTTGGCGGTCCCTTGGCGGTCCCTTGGCGGTCCCTTGGCGGTCCCTTGGCGGTCCCTTGGCGGTCCCTTGGCGGTCCCTTGGCGGTCCCTTGGCGGTCCCTTGGCGTCCCTTGGCGGTCCCTTGGCGGTCCCTTGGCGGTCCCTTGGCGGTCCCTTGGCGTCCCTTGGCGGTCCCTTGGCGGTCCCTTGGCGTCCTTGGCGTCCCTTGGCGGTCCCTTGGCGGTCCCTTGGCAGTCCCTTGGCGTCCCTTGGCGGTCCCTGGCAGTCCCTTGGCGGTCCCTTGGCGGTCCCTTGGCGGTCCCTTGGCGGTCCCTTGGCGGTCCCTTGGCAGTCCCTTGGCGGTCCCTTGGCGGTCCCTTGGCGGTCCCTTGGCGGTCCCTTGGCGGTCCCTTGGCAGTCCCTTGGCAGTCCCTTGGCGGTCCCTTGGCAGTCCCTTGGCGGTCCCTTGGCGGTCCCTTGGCGGTCCCTTGGCGGTCCCTGGCGCGGCGTGGCGCGGTGTAGCGCGGTGTAGCGCGGCGGGGTGGGTGACTGGCCGACCGACGCCTGGCCGTCTCGTCAGTTCAGTGACACTGACGAATGGAGCCACTTCTCGGAACGCTGCACGCACGCACACACTCGCACTCACTCACGCGCATGCACGCTCACACACTCACAGGCGCCACCTCCACACTTCCGCGAAGCGCGTGGACGGGGCTCTGCGCTCCGCGCCACGTCCGCGCCACGCGTCGAGTCCAATCAACCTGTCAGTCACCCCGCGAGCGGCGCGAGCCATTCCTCAACCGGCCCGTTGATTAGTCATTAGGGGGTCGCGCGCAAACCTCGCGACCCGAAATGGGCCACTTTTGGACCCTCTGCGACGGGCAACCCAACCGTCCCATGTATTTTAGATGGGAGTGTGATTTTTTTCGGACCCCCTTCCTCCCTACATGTGTCACGTGATAAATGCACGACCTCTAACGTCGTATTTCTTTTTCCAAGTATTTCAGTTTTGTTGGGATCGAAATAAATCGTTTCAAAATTGGAAGCTGGTTGCTGGTAAAAAAAGTCTTTCGCCTCCCTGTGAGTCGACGGTTTGGAGTGCACGAGGTTGGGATTTCTATTTCACCCTCCGTGGCCCCGTCCCACCCCGCCCCGCCCCACCCCGGCCTGCCCCCTGTCCCCGGCCGAAAAGGAAAAGGGGTAAGATTGGATGTTCTCGTCTAACAACGGCCCGCAGAGTCGTTTTCGTCGCTCTGTCTCTCTCGCTCTCACGGGGCGTTCCGGACAGGAGTGAGAGAGACAGAGCGACGAAAGCGACTCTCAGTCTGCCGGTCCCACTCGACACCGCCTCGCACCGCCTCGCACCGCCCTCCAGACCCTTACAGAGGCATTCGCACCGCTCTTGAGTTTGTCAGTGTTCCCCCTCGAGAAGGCCCCCTGCTCGGCCCCTGCCCCGGGCAGCCTGCGCATGCGCGCGGCCCGCACTGCGATCGAATCCGGCATCGCTCCGTCTCTCTCGCGCGGGCCGGGCGGGCCGCGAGAGCGAGAGAGACAGCGCTAGAGTGCGCGGCGGAGTGACGCAGGCAGGCTGGGTCTCGCGCGTTGCGCTCACAGGGTCGCCACAGCAGGGAAAGGGCCTGGTGAGTTCAACTTCCTATTCTTTATTCTCCTGTCGGCACGGTGGAGTGACGTCAGAGTGACGGTAGAGTGACGTGAGAGTGACGGACGGACGCGTGACGGGACGGTCGGACGCGAGCGAGGTGCGGGCAGCGCCACGGGGCGTCCGCTCGCGTCGCGCAGCTGTTGTGCTTCGCTCGAAAAGTGGGGTTAGGTGTCGCTCTGGTCTGCGCTGCGCTGCCTGGCGTTTGCTTGCTGTCGTCCTCCTCGCCCTCGGCGTGACTTTTTGTCATTGACTGTGTCCGCTCATCATCACGTCCTTCTCACAAGACGTCACAGCGTCACTTCGAAGTACGACACTTGAGTCGACACGGGGCGAAGCCACAGAACGAGGCTTTCCGTCTTTTGTCTGGGAACCCTTGTGCAAAGGGACAGACCATCTCCGCCAGCGAACAAATTTAAACCTTTGATGATTTTTGACCGCGTATTGTGGTTTGTTTAAAAGGGGGACCCCCAAGATGGCGGCCTCCAGTGATTGCGTCTCTCGCTGGAGTCAACAAAGTTGGGGAGGGGGAGGGGGGCACTGTGCGCATATTGTTCCTCACTGCAACCCCCTCCTTCATCACAGAATCGGTTCTAATCGTCCATTTTGTCGTCTTCGCTGGAAACAGTGCCATCTGTCGCGAAAGTAAAGTCCTGGTGGCACTAATTCTTGCTTCTGTTCCAGTTCCGTCGACATGTACCCGCTCGTCACCGCGGTGGCGGTGTTTGCGGCCGCGGCCCACCTGGCCGGAGCCTACCTGTCGTCGCCCAAGGTCTGTCCGCACAGTGGACTTGCCAGAAGGCCGGTGGAGGTGGCCAAAACGCTGGACGCGTTTTGAGCCCCAATGTCGCTGAATGGGACTCGAACCGGACGTGTGACCCCACCAATGGATTCCTCGTCCGGAGAGCAATTGATTGGTGGGGTCACACGTTCGCTTCGAGTCCTGTTTAGCGACTCTGGAGGTCAAAACGCGTCTAGAGTTTTGGCCGCCGGGGACGCCGTATTTTCCCTTGTGCAACGCCTCGAAAAATGGTTGTTGTCGTGAAACGGCCTAACTGAGTAGCAACTGTCGACATCGATTCAATCGAATTTATGCCAACAAACATCGACTTTTCTGTCTTTCAATGAAACTTTTGTTTTATTATTGTGTTTTCTTTCCGCCAGCAGGAGGCCATGTTGACCGACGCGCTGTTGCGAGAAATGTTAGACCCCAGTTACCTCGATCTCGAAAGCGGGTAAGCTGCAAACCGCATTCAGTCCGTCTGCCTTTATTTTTTTAACGGCAATTTTTAAAATAAACCATATTTTTCATTGGTTAGCGGGCCGGTGCTGGCGAGCAGGAATATGAAGGACTTTGACGCGTTGGACTACGAGCTGGACAGTGCGCTGGGGCCCCTCAGCCCGCACCCCTCCACCAGGGACGGCGAGTACCTGCAGCACGCGCCGTCGCTGTGGGGGCACCAGTACCTCAGCGGTGAGAACGCGCTCAAATAAAAGTAGTCATCTTCGTCAGCGCGCGCGTCTCGATGTTTTGTTTTCGTTTTTGATTGCTTCAGGAGGGGCTGGCGAAGGCAAGCAGCAGCTGCGCCCCGACGGCGCCATCAAGAACAAGCACCAGGTGAAGACGGACGCCGCCCTGCCCGCGTACTGCACGCCGCCCAACCCGTGCCCCGTCGGCTACACCGGTAGGCACATCGCCGTGGCGCCGCAGTGGCCGAGGGCGTCAAGGCGTCTATTCGCAACCTCCATCACGTGCGTTCGAAGCTCCACTTTTTAACCATTTTTATTTGTGCTGTTGCAGCGGATGACGGCTGCCTGGACCAGTTCGAGAACACCGCCGCCTTCTCCAGGGACTACCAGGCCTCGCAGGACTGCATGTGCGACCAGGAGCACATGTTCAAGTGCCCCTCGGCCAAGAACGGCCACACCGACGGCAGGAACGACATCTCCGAGGACGACATCGACCGCTTCGTGCACGAATTCCAGGTCCGTTTCCAGCCCAGTACCCCAGCATTTTCCTGTCGACAGCACAGTCGTTCATACTCGATCGTTTTCGTTTGCAGGACAAAAACTCGAACAAAATTGTCGCCAAGAAATACCACGTCAAGAAGGTAAGCGTCTGCGCGCTACCGTGTTTCGGGCTCTGCGCGCCTGCGGAACAGAGCGTAGGCCAGCCCGCTGAACGAGCGTGTCGAGGGATTGCCTACCCTCTGCTTCACAGGCGCTAGCGCTGACTCCGAGAGTCGTTTCCGTCACTCTCTCCCTCGCACTCGTGGAGCGTCCCGCTGCGTCCCGCTGGGTGCGAGGAAGAGACAGCGCCGAAAACGACTCTCGGAATCGCCAGCTGACTTCGCGCAGGGAAACTACCGCGCGCGCCGAGCGTTTGCTTGTCCTTCCACCTTCCTGAAACACGCCGCGTTGTTTTGCAGTCCTCCAACCCGTACCTCCAGGGAGAGCGGCTGCCGGTCGCCGCGAAGAAGGGCTTCAACGTGCAGTAACGTGCAAAAGGCCCAAGAAAACAACATTTTAATCGCGCGGTGCTGAAACAGCTTATCATCGCCAGGACACCCTGATAATAACTGTAATAAGTTCTGTTTCCATGTTTCATTCGTTCTAGTGGGTCCCTTTTCCGTTTTTCCGTATTCGTATAGCCAAACTTATTTGAAAAGTCGCATTTCCCCCATCAGCACCAGCATATCACTAGATCAACCTTTATCCCACGACTGGGACCGAGTAGCGAATCGAAATTCGGAGTACATTTAATTTAAGATTAAGTTAGATTTTCACGGGTCGAATCAGGCCTCGAGAATTTATGCAACTGTATTCCCAACATGAGCATAGTTTTTAACCGAATATGTTTAAATTTATATTGCTTTTTAATTTCTAGTCTTCCTCGTGATTAAATTTTGTAAATTTTCGAGATTTCTCGATGGTTGAAATCGCTGACACTCTCGTGGGTCCAGGACCGGGGGCATTTACATAGGGGCTCGCGTTTGATTTTTTTTAGTTTCATACTGTATGCAAATAAACTACGCAAATACTCGCGGTCCAGGGAGAGCGTTCGTTTCACCATCGAAGTCTCGAAAATATTCTTGTAGCCCATGACTGAATGTTTTTATCGTCAGTGCTGCTTCGTTTGTATTTTTTCGTTTTTCGAAGCGCAGGCGCATGTTGTTCATATTTGATAAATTGGCTCTCGCAGTAGCCACACGATTTTCTAAAAATAAAATTTACACTTCCCAGACAACGAAGTTTATTTTTAGTTCGCACAAACAGATAAAGCGCAAACTAAGCGACGATGTAAACCATTTCGATTATGCTGTTGGGCTGTGATAGACGAAGACGATGCTGGTTGTTTGACAACGAGAAAAGTAAATAAACGTTTATGTCGTCGCCATGCGTGTGTCCTTGTGACTTTCCCATTCCCATTCCGTTCGTAATGTAGAGGAAGTATCACAACGGCGGAGGCACAGTGGGCCAGAAGACCGGCGCAGGCGGCCAAAACTCTAGACTCGTTTTGAGCCCGAAAGTCGCTAAACAGGGCTCAAACCAGAAGTGTGACCCTACCAATGGATTCCTCGTTCGGAGAGCAATTCATTGGTGGGGCCACACGTTGGATTCGAGTCCCATTTAGCGACTCTGGAGCGCAAAACGCGTCCGGGATTTTGACCGCCTCCACTGGCCTTCTGGCCCACTGTGCGCTGCAGCGCGGGGTATCCCCGACGCCAGGCACGGCAAGTCTCTGCCCTGCGGAGTATCGCCGCACCGCCGCGTTTGTTGCGTGGAAACGACAATGTGCGAGCAGGCCAACACTTCTTTCCCTCTCCTTTTCTTCCACGGCGAGGCCGGCGAGGAGCGCTCCTCCACGGTACGTGCCGTCTCTCTCGCACTCACGGGCCGTCCTGTGTGGGTGCGAGAGAGTGCTGTGTCTCAGTCTGCTGAGGACAAAGCCGACTTGTCCATACCCCGCGCGCTCGAGTCACTTGTTGACCAAGGCCCTCGGCACGCTGTGCATGCTCTGCAGGCGCCCCGGTCGGTGGCTCGGCGGCGAAGTGGGGCAAGTGCCCCAGGGTGGCGGCCGCCGGCCATCCCGGGGGTACCGGCGGCAAGGTCGTGCCCAAGGCCGTGACGGTGCTCATGCGGCGCGGAGTGACGGATGTCACTGATCAGCCTCGCCGTGCCTGAAATCAGGTAACCACGCGGCGTGGGTTCAAATCCCCGTGACTCTCCCCTTTTCGAGCGACACTGTGCTTAGCGCTGCCGACCTCAGACATGAAAAAAAGAGCAAAGCCAGGCAGGCAAGGCGTTTTGAACCACTGACTTCCCCGTTCACTGTCCCTGGCGAGTTGCAGCGACAATGTCGATCCCTCACGGCGTCGCGTCCTCCGCGCGCGAAGAGGCCCGCGCCGTGGAGCAGACCAGAACTCCACCGCGGCCCTGACGGCCCTGACGGCCCCACCGCCGCCCAGGTTGGCACTGCCGCGTCTTGTCGTGGGTTCGACTCCCGCCGGCCGCCGACAGTTTTCTTGTTGCGACGCAGCAGCGCCTCGCCGTCCCCGTTCTACTACAAGCATGGTGCCTTCCTGGTGCCCTACCGGTGGCGCCACTGCACTGCCGAGGACGACGACAGTGGGGACGAGGGTGACGCGCAGAGCGCACCGCGCCGCCGGGCCTTGTCCGCGTGGACGGCGTTGTCGGCCTGCCCTCCGCGCCGCCGCCCGCCCCTCAGCGGCCACCCTCGCCGCCGGCCGACTGCCGCTGCACGCCGCTTTTGGGGGTAATTGTTGTTGTTGGCACCGTCGCTTGTTGTTTTAGTACTAGTAACGCACAGTGCTCCAGAAGACCGCTGGAGGCGGATAAAACTCTGCACGCGTTTTGAGCTCTACAGTCGCTAAACGGGACTCGAACCGAACGAGTGACCCCACCAGTGGATTCCTCCTTCGGAGAGCAATCCATTGGTGGGGTCACACGTTCGGTTCGAGTCCCGTTCAGCGACTCTGGGGCTCAAAACGCGCCTAGAGTTCTGACCGCAACCCCCGGCCTATTGGCCCGCTGCATGACGGTTGGTCCGGTTGTCGTAGGCGGACGTTGGTGCGCGCGCTGTCGCTGCCGGAGCGGCGCGTCCCGCCGTCGCGGCGCTGCCTCCGCTTCCTGCTCGAGTTCCTGCGGCTGAAGCTCCGGCTCCGCTTCCTGCAGGCATCGAGGCTGCCCGGCAACGCACGCAAGTTCACTTGGCCGGCCACGCTGGCCGCGCGCGCCGCGAACGCCACCGGCAACGCCAACGGCCAGTCGAAAGGCTGCCAAACGCGCGCGCCGCGCCACCGCCCGCCCGTCTCCGGGTACGCACGTCGCGCAGTGTGCCAGATGACCGGTGGAGGCGGCCAAAACTCTGGACTCGTTTTGACCTCCAGAGTCGCTCCAACCGACCCCACCAATGGGATCCCTCGTTCGGAGAGCAATCCATTGGTGGGGTCACACATTCGTTTCGAGTTAGCGAATCTGGAGCTCAAAACGCGTCTAGAGTTTGGAACGCCTCCACCGGTCGTCTGGCCCACTCTGCGCTGCCATGGTTGCCGAGACCCCCAGGATCTAGGAGTAGGGCTGTCTGAGGTCGGTAGGCGCAGGCGGCAGCGTCGAGTGAGCGAGACTTACAGTGTACCGCGGTCCTCGGCAGTGAGTGGCAGGTGCTGGAGGCCGTGGTGCGGGTCGTGCTGGGCGTGACCCTGGAGGACCTGGTGCAGCGTTTCGCGCTGCTCTTCCTCACGCACAAGGAGGCCTTCACCGCGCCCCCGGCACTGCCCGCGCTGCCCCCTCCGCCTGCCGCCGCCGTCGTCAAGGACCCCGTCGCGGACCCCGGCCGCCGGCGGGTCACGCCCATCAGGAGGATGCGGCGAGCACCCCAGGACGCCGTCAAGTCCGAGGTGGTGCTGCCGGCGCGGCCCGCCGCCAGCGCCAACCTGGCCGCCAAGAGCCGGTCGGCGCCGGGGCCGCCGTCGGCCGCCCCTCCGAGGCCGTCGTCGGGGACCTCCAAGACGCGGACGGTGCCGTGCCGCTGCCGGGAGAGCCGCCTCCAGCTGGAGCAGCTGTCCATGGCCTTGGCGTCCTCCGGGGACAGCTCCGACGTGAACCCCGCCGCCGCCAAGCACAGCACCACCAAGGTACCATCCGCTTGACCCGATAATTGTTTCTCGGATTGTACTCTGTCGCCCCAGGAAGCAAAAACGGAAGGCCCCGCTGGGGAAGCAATAAATTTCCGTCGAGACAGAAGCTCCGCGCATGGAATGTGTCAATATAGGATTGTTTTTCTGCCGCAGGGCCGCACCGCGAGCAAAGGCGGCGTCACCATCGCGGACCGTCCTCCCTGGCGGCACTGCTACCGACCCAGCACCCCCAGCATGGCCCTGCTCGGCAGGTAGGATCACCTCGCCAACCAAGCGACACACAGTGGGCCAGAAAGCCGGTGGAGGCGGCCAAAACTCTTGACGCGTTTTGAGCTAAAAAGGACTCGAACCGAGCGTGTGGCGTGTGACCCCACCAATGGATTCCTCGTTGGGAGAGCAATCCATTGGTGGGGTCACACGTTCGTTTCGAGTCCCGTTAAGCGAGTCTGGAGCTCAAAACGCGTCTGGAGGTTTGGCCGCCTCCACCGGTCTTCTGGCCCACTGTGCGGCAGCTTTGCACGTCCTCGTCCTCGTGTCGTTGACGTCGTGAAAGCGCCTCTTGGCCCAGCCCCCCGGCGCGCACGCCGCCCACCTCGCCGCTGGCCTCGCCTCGCCGTCGCGGACCTGGGCCTGACAAGGCCACGGGGGACGCCCCCGCCCCCATCATCAGGGCGGCCAGGATGACGGGCAAGGCGACCGGCGTCGACGGCAGCTCGAGGGACTCGCCCCGGGACGCGCACCAGTCCTCTGTTCAGGTTGTCTCCCCGAGCTTTCGTCCCATCGCGCGGCTCAAGGCGTCTCGCGGTACTCACTGGGCGTTGTAGGTGTTGTACGAGCCGCCACGGGTGTGCGCCACGCGGTCCGAGGCCGGCGAGGACGTCGAAGACCAGCCGAGGCCGTCCGCGAGCACGGCGTCGAGGCCGTCGGTGAGGCAGGCGGAGACGCAGACTCAGCCGCAAGGCAGCCAAGGCGGCGGCCCGGAGACGTGCTGTCGTGGCCTCCGGAGTCAGATCCTGGACCTCCGGAGCCTCATCACCGGCCTGCAGAAGGACATGGCCGGCCTCATGCAGGACGAGAGGGGTGACCTGCCGCCGGAGAGCCGCGAGCGGTGGAGAGAGGTAGCGACACAGGCAGCCTACACTCAAAACGCGTTTTGAGCTCCAGAGTCGCTAAACGTGGCTCGAACCGAGCGTGTGGCCCGCCAATGGATTCCTCGTTCGAAAAGCAATCCATTGGTGGGGTCTCATGATCAGTTTGGAGCTGAAAACACGTCTAGAGTTGTGGCCGCCGGCGCCGGTCTCCTGGTCCACTGTGCGTCTCTCAGAAATGTTGAGAAAATGGCTTGGGCTCCTTGTCTGAACGGCGGACGAATGGCTCGCATGCTACGGGGTCGTGATGTCATTTCAGGGCGTTGAGTTCTGGCAGCAGCGATACGAAGACCTAAAAGAGGAGCAGCAACAATGTCTGTCGAGGGTAGGTACTTTCTGTTTAGTCTACAGAACAGAGCAAGGTAGTCCCTAAAGACTGAACCACTGTGATCATTGCAGAAAAAAGAAAAGAGAAGGTGAGCAAGAGTTGTTCTAGAGGCGTTAAATACAAATAACTCAAAGATCTGACAAACCAATTTTATTGATTCATTCGCATCTTTAACACATAATATGAGGGTTCTACAGAACATCACAAAGGTACAACTTTCTGTAGCCCCTGATGAAACAAGAACTAAGAAATTCCAAAAGGAGTGCTAACAACTGGTGTACAAGTTAATCTATTGAATAGAAAACTACAACGATATGAACCAAACTCTAACATCACAATTTACCGAGGAGATAAAATTTTATACGTATGCGTATTATGAAGGTCAACTTATCAAGCGCATTGGATATGCAATCGTGTCCAAATTTTGGAGACAGTTAATTTCCTCTTGATAAGATGTCCTTCATGATACATGCCCTATAATTCCAATTGGTCTCTGAAATTATACCCGCCATTCATACTTAGACATGATACAAGTGAAGACCTTCACAGTCACATCTACATTCACACTAAAAGAAAAACTATCACACTTACTTGGAACCACAGACACACTTTAAATACACATGACAAACTTGTTAGGTATCTGCCAAAAAAAAGTAGGATTCCCCACAATTCTCTGCATAGTTCATGCCCTTCCTAATTTTAAAGAAGCTATTTTTAAATGCTCATGACAGACAAGACAATGTCAACTGATTGAATGATTTTAACTGGTCCATAAAACAATTTATCAACCACTTTGTATGCTGTGAATATTACAAGATAAAGAATTCGATATTCAGTAAATAAAATTATTTCAGAACAAAATTTATTAAATGTTTTGAAACTGACTAGCTGCATGTTTATTGCGCAATGATGCAAGTTGATCTGCAGTCTTACTCTCTACATTGTCATCCTTTTCTTTGAAACACATTCAAAAGAATATTCAGTGGTGCAATACACAACACCATCAAGGTTCAGTTAGCAATCATTGACTGGCCATAAGGTGCCAAAGAAAACAACAACATTCAGTAGTGAAGAAATAAAATAATCCAAATCTATTGTCAAAACAATCAGATCTTTATGAAGTACAATTTGTAGAAATGAAGTGGTATCAGCAAAGAAGAATATCACTGATTGTGTTAAGCCCATTGTCACCTGATCACAGTGCATTATGAGTGCAATATCACAGAAAGAGCAAAAAAAGAAGAAATCCAAAAGGAATAATCGTTCTCATTTTTTCTTGCCTTAAGGCTGGTTGTCCCCAGAAGTCACAAATTTATCTTGTCATATTCTTTACCTAAAGCTAAATTAGCACAGTAGAACTGATAACACATAGCTGCATTGGAGTTCTTTAAAAACACAGCACAGTTTGTCTTTTTCTTTTCCCGGATCAGAATAAACATTGGCTCAGTCAGCTTCACAGATTATAAAACTAAAATCTTAGCTCCCTGAGAAGATTTGAAATTGTATAACACCTTTCTAGCATTAGAGGTGAAACTAACTCACTTGTATATGTATTTCAAGTAGTTACACAAGAAAAATCCAAGTATTCTTCGATAAACTTTACTTTATCTAATTTGGCAGATATAGCAGAGTATGAAAAAAAGTTCCTCAAGCATCCGAGTGCATCACCTAGATGAATGTGCTGGTATGATTATTATTTTTCTACAGCACTAAAGGGTCCAGATAATTTATAGCTTAAGATTATTTTAAGATGTCAGACTTAAGAACAGACTTTTACACTGCACTGCATTTTAAGCAGGTAACACTACAAATAATTTCTTGGCAAAAACACTGAGGTATTTTACAATAATTCTTGTACAGTTGAACCAGCTATTTTAGGACTTATTGTATTATTTTAGCACTGTGCACAGGTATTTCTCTAAATAAACCTCTCAGAAATATTTCATACAAGATCACAACCTAATGCTCATACAGAATGTCGTAATGTCCAGGTCTGTACAGAAGGTGCACTGCTGGCGTGGTGCCCTCAGGGAAGTCATGGGCGATGACTTGAGCTGAATCCCCACGGTCCATGTATCTGACGCGCACGCCGACATTCAGGGCAGCACTGAGGGCGATGATATGGATGTGGTCACTCTCTTTGAACATAGGTTCAACTTCCTGCAATAATGGCAATGCATACACAATGTTAGATTATCTAAAAAACTTTTATCAAGGCAACGTTTTGGCAAAACAAATCATTACCTGATGGCAAAATGCCGTCATTGTGCGGTTGCCATCGATGAAGTTGAGATAAAAATCAGCGTCCCGTTGCAGTTTGCCCGAAGTGATGAGACGTAGGTATACAACAATGTAGTTTGATTGGCCGGTGACATTGAAAAGCTCATACAGCTCATCCTGGGCCATTTCACCACCACCAATTCTCTCCACAACTTCCATAAACTGACAAACACAAAAATAAATGAAAACATACTACAATTTCCTAATATTTTTGAAAATGGGCCCATGATTAGAGAATACTCACAGTATCATAGAAGTCTTCCAGTGTGAATTGAGGGAAACCAAGCTCAATCAAATCGTCTTTGCTTTTGGAAACAATGTCATAGAAACTGCAAAATAATGTAATATAGGGGTAAATATTTTAAAGTGTTAAAAGATTTCCGTTACTGCTGTTAGGTTTTACCTCTTATATTCGTCCTTGTTGGTCAGCAGTCGCTCAAAATAGGCATATGCAAATGCACGGAAAAAGCAATTTCCGTCTGGTCTCATTCTTCTAATGCTGCTGTATTTACTTGACAGATCTTTGGCTTTCATTGTGTAAATCGGATCAGCAGCATACTCTTTCTCAAGGGCGCAAAGAAGGTCTTCTTTGACACCAACAAGGGGAATAGCTTCTGATATCTAGAAAGTAAAGAAAGGCAATGGTTGATCAGTCAATGACACAAATAATTTCAAAGGAAAACAAAATTGTTTTCAAGTGTGTTTACCTCTTCCTCAATTTGACGCTGCTGTTCCATAATGAGATTATCTTGGTTGGTTGGAGCTGAACAAGAATATAAATTGTAAAACCAAGCATGAATTAAGGTATCACATCATAATATTTTCGCTATCTCACCTTCAACACGCTTCTCACCATCCGCTTCACGAACCTCGTCCCCCATGACTGCTGCAATGATCAGGACACAAGACATTATATAACTCATAAAAAACAATATTTGAGTTGAAACAGGAAAACATCACAAAAGTAGCCAATATAATAAGATAGGAGATTTTTTTAAAAATAAAATCAATTACATTTAACATTTTATGCGGTATCCTAGCAAAAGGAATCTGTTTTTGTTTTCGAGTTTTCAAGAAAACTGAGAGCTTTCTGCCACAAATAGGGACGGAGGACGCCGGGAGAGCCGAAGAGGAAGAAATAAATAAATGCAATCTAAACTAAAAGGATTGCTAGAATGTAGGAACAGTCGCAACTAAAACATTTTATGTGGTGTCTGTATTGCGTTCCTGTAGTTGCTTTTGATAAAATTTAAGTACATCCCTATGACCAAGCTGTTTTTTGTCGAATTATTGTCCTTGGTAAACATGACCCCTAACCTACAAATCGGTACCCCAGGGGTTTCATTTCGCAAAATATACTTCTGGCACAAAAGTGGCTCAACAAAAACAGGCTGTTCAAAACCTTGAATCACGAAGAAAGGCGATCCCTTACCGTTGGGGTTTAGAACTGGGCAACAATCGAAACAAGACACAAAGAATTGCAGACTAAATTCTCCTCTGTCGGAACTTGGAGACGTCAAAGACCATAACAACAGTGGTGCCACCACCGCCACCACACCGCACGCATGAAATTCAGTCCATTGTCGCAGGGTTCGTTGCTTCCGTTTCGTGTGGGAGGAAAGGTTTTCCAAAATTTTAATGCATTGCCTACCAAATAACCCCTCGACGGCGCTGCTAAGATAAATAGGACGCTCGTTGTGTTTGAATGAGATCGTTCCTGGAGAGCGGGAAATGGACCGAAATTCAAACGCGTCGCAGATCCGGCCAGTCCGACCGGAGAGAATCCCTAACCCATTTTACGCGCCCTCGCTTTTTCCACTTTATTCCTCACTCTGAGAAGTGTGACGCCGCGCCGCACGCGTGGAGTGGAACTTGGTCTCGCCCCGATCGCATGGAACACAAAGCGACAGTGTTGCGGTTCTGTTCGTTTTTCTCTCCACGCAAAGTACCGATAGGGCGGGGCGGGGCGCGGGGCAGGGCACACCGGCCCCGCTGCTCCCTTCTCGCTCTGCCCACTCGATCTCAACATCATTTGTGGACCTGATCCCCCACCTGCAGACTGACTCCGAGAGCCGTTTTCGTCGCTCCGTCTCTCTCGCACTCGTGGGTGGGCGTCCCGCGTAGGTGCGGGGGAGACAGAGCGACGAAAGCGACTCTCGGTCTGCAGCCGGTTGCTGCAGCGATCGGCCCATCGGCCCTTTGTCTTCTCATTATGGCGAACAAAAGCAACAAAAGCACGAACGGACTGAATACAGTGAAGACGGGGCGGCCGCTTCACCGCCTGCTTGCCCGCTTCGCGTCTCAAAGTCCCGACCGCCTCGACCGCCTCGACGCGGGTAAGAGCATTACTGTAATGACGCAGGATTGGCGCGGTTTCGGCTTCGAGGGCGCACCGCCTGGCACCGCCCAGCAGAGTCGTTTTCGTCGCTCCGTCTCTCTCGCACCTATACGAGGCGCTCCGTGCGTGCGAGAGAGACAGAGCGACGAAAACGACTCTCTGAACCAGTCTGCCGGGGGCGCCACTCGACACAGAAAGCAAAGCATCGCCCAGCATCGCGCAGTGACGTCACGGAGGGAACAAACCCTCACCGATGCGCGTTGGTAAGATGTGGCCAGTCCAAAGTGGGCCAGAAGGCCGGTGGTGGTGGTGGTCAAAATTCCGGATGCGTTTTGATCTCCAGAGTCGCTAAATGAGACTCGAACAGAACGAGTGACTCCACCAATGGATTGCTCTCCGAACGAGGAATCCATTGACGGGGGTCACACGTTCGATTCGAGTCCGGGCTAGCGACACTGGAGCTCGAAACGCGCCTAGAGTTTTAGCCGCCTCCACCGATCTTCCGGCCCACTGTGCACCGGTCTGCGGAGTAATGCACGAGTGTCGCGGGGGCGAGGCGGAGTCGTATGTCACTCTTCCACCTGCGGTCCACCAGAGCGGCGAGTCGGGCACTTCTCTTATGAGGGGGCCGCGGGGGGCGGGGCGGGGGCGGCGGTGTTTGGTTTCAGTCGGGACGTATCTGTTCTGTGTTGGCTCAGTGACGTGGTGCCGTCACCAATTGGCAGTGTGGTGGGGATGAAAGTTGGTCCGGCGGGCTGGCCTGGCTTGGCCGGGCTTGGCTAGGCAATCACTCGGGGGTTACTCTCCACGGCCCGGCCTGGCCAGGCGACAGGGTGACACCCAGCGAGGTGCCTCTCAAACAGCTCTCTTTTCCGTGCGTTGCATTGCAGCGCCGCCTTCGCACAGTGGCGGATCACAGTGGGCCAGAAGACCGGTGGGGGCGGCCGAAACTCTAGACGCGTTTTGAGCTCCAGAGACGCTAAACGGGACTCGAATAGAACGTGTGACCCCACCAGTGGATTCCTCGTTGGGAGAGCAATCCATTGATGGGATCACACGTTCGCGACTCTGGAGCTCAAAACGCATCTGGGATTTTGACCCGCCTGCAGCGGTCTTCTGGCCCATTGTGCGCATCCAGAGGCGGCCGGGGGGGGGGGGGGGGTAGCAGTTTTCCCTCATTTCCTTACTTGGGCAAAGTATGGCTTTTGCCTACCTTTCAGGCATTGTGGTGCCCCTGCGCCTGACAGCGAGGCCGGATGCATGGGCCTGGTTAGGTTAGGCAGGACGCGTTTTGGCTCTAGAACTCGAATCAAACGCCCGTTACCAATAAGATTCCTTGATTCTCAGTTCGGGGTCGAGGTAAGAGTCTGTGTTTCCGACGAGCCCCGCTCCAGCCCCGCTCCAGCGAGGAGCAACGCGGTCACGGCTGCATTCCAGAACATTCCAGGAGCGCCTCCAGGGACGCGTCCAGGATGCGCTCCCTGTCGAATTCTCCAGAAGGCGCGCGTGCATGGATCACGCTCCAAGAGTAGTTAGCCCGGCCGGCCGCAGCCCAGCCCTGGCCTTTGCTGCGGCGGGACTGAGAAGGCGATCCTTCGAGCGGAGGGTCGCCCTGTCTCTCTCGCGCTCACGGCGCGTGCCGCGCGGGTGCGAGAGAGACAGATGCGCTGTTGGGAATCTGCCCGCACGAGGTAGCGGTGGTGGTGATACATGAAATATGCTCGCCTCCCGCAGCCGCCTCGCTGGGGGTACGCGCCGCCCCGCGCCGCCCCGCGCCGCCCCACCCCACGCTGCTATTGGTGCACACACAGGGCTTTAATCACAAACTCTGCCCTTGCCCCGCCACTTTAAAGAGCACTGGGTCAAGCTCGCACGTCACAGGTCGCACGTCGCAGGGAAGAAAATTCACCCACACCTCTGACAGGAAAAACACGCGTCGCATCAGCCGCGAGGCGCGAGAGCGGTGATGGGAAGAGAGAGAGAGAGAGAGAGAGAGAGAGAGAGAGAGAGAGAGAGAGAGAGAGAGAGAGAGAGAGAGAGAGAGAGAGAGAGAGAGAGAGAGAGAGAGAGAGAGAGAGAGAGAGAGGCGATAGCGACTCCGCGCTGCGCGCCGAAGCCGACCGCACTCTTCTGCCGCGGAATCCAGCCGCGCGAAAGAAAAAGGGGGAAAACAACACATGCAAGTGTGTCTGGCTTTGGATTCGCCGCGCGAGTGTAGCGTGTGTAGCGTGCGTAGGGTGTAGGCACACGCGTTTGTGAATGGCCACCGGGCGAAGGGCTAGTAGTTTGCGTGTAGAGACTGAGCTCGCGCTAACAGGGTCTTTGAGTTCGAGTGTGTGCGTGTGTGTGTGAGCGTGTGTGTGTGAGCGTGAGCGTGGGTACAGTCGACATCAAAAGCACCGCCTTTTGGGAAAATGGTCGTTAATTAACTCGCCATGCCCCTTGCGGGGCCCCTTGGCCCTCCCGACGCCCCGCCGCGCCCGACCGGCTGCGAGACGCGCTCGTAAGTGTAAGTTTCACCAGCGCGTCAAATTGTTAAAAATTGTCTTTTGTGTGTGTGTATTAGAGAGAGAGAGGGGGGGGGGATATGTGCGATATGTGCTCTTCCCCCTTCCTCGTTGATGCGAATAATGCCCGGTATTTGCACGTCAGGTGAATCACGCCTGCGAATAGCCGACGAGACTAGGCACTACGGGACTCGTGTAGTGGAATGGATGCATTATGCCACGGCGCCCCACATGCCCCCCCCCTCCGCCCCCTCTTCCCACCCTAAAACCCATCCTCCTCCAAGCAGCTATCATGTGATTAAACGCGCGACAAAATTGGAGAGAGAGAGAGAGAGAGAGAGAGAGAGAGAGAGAGAGAGAGCGGAGGAGGAGTGGGGAGGATGGAGGGGTGATGTCTTACTGTCATTTCCCTCGTCTCATCTTCCCACATGCAAAATTATTTTTGTCCCGAATCTGCTCAGAAAAATATAATAAGAAAGACAAATCACCACACCAGTGCTGGCGCACCTACCCAAATTGGTTAAGGAGTGTTGTATTAATTCAACGCCGTTGGAAATGTTTAAAAAGGCAACACTTAAAACCAAAGAAAACAGGTATTGGATTTGGAACCGGATGGACGCGACGCGAGACGCGACGTGAGACTCCGACAGGAAATGCAAGTTTGGCCGCACTTGTCCTCCCACTGCGCCCCGCCGAGCGGTGGAGGGGGTGCGAGAGAGAGGGGGAGAGGGGAGGGAGCGAGAGGGAGGAAGCGAGAGGGAGAGAGGGGAGGGGGCACGTCGGCAAGCTTATAAAGGCGTCCGTTACCTTGCGCCGTCCTATCCGTGGACAGCGAGCGCCTAGGGTGCTTGTGTCTGGCCTGCCTCCACCGCCTGCTGCCGAACCCCTTGCCCGACGGCACCCTCCAGGACCCTCCACACCCTCCAGGAACATGCAAGGTGAGTGCGGAAGACAGAAGGCCGGCGCCGGCGGCCAAAGCTCTGGACGCGTTTCGAGCTACAGAGTCGCTAAACAGGACTCGAACCGAACGTGTGACCCCACCAATGGATTCCTCGTTCGGAGAGCAATCCATTGGTAGGGTCACATGTTCGGTTCGAGTCCCATTTAGCGACTCTGGAGCTCAAAACGCGTCCGGGATTCCGACCACCTCCACCGGTCTCCTGGTAAATCCACTGTGAGGCGGGGACCCGGAGGACGCCGAAATGCCCGGCAACCCGGGACATCGCGTCGACTCCGGACGGACTGATCTCACAGTGCACTGCATGCAGTTTGACCAGTGCGTTGGGCCAAAACTGTCGTAGACCCTCGGTGATGGCACTCGACGCGTGCGATAAAGACAGAGCGACCGAGTTTGGCGTCGGCCGGCTCGGCATGGCCGGCGCACATCGCCACCAAGCACCCCGAGGCCGTCATCTCGGACAGTAACTCGGTCGAATGGCGTCCTCTATCGTCGTGCCCACAGTCGGCGCCCCTCTGGTCCACGAGCAAGTCCACGAGTGCGCGAGTCCACGAGTCCCCATATTGGCCCACGAATCCCCCACGAGTGCCCACGAGTCCCCACGAGTCCCCACAAGTCCCCACGAGTCCCCACGAGTCCCCAGCGGCCGCCGTCCCTTTGCAAACCCCTCGGCCCACGCGGGGTCCAACGCGCGCCCTGCAGGCCGCCGATTCCGAACGGGCGTCGCTGTCTCTCTCGCACTCGCAGGGGCTGCGCGGGGGCTGCGCGGGGGTGCGAGAGAGACAGGGGTCCCGGTCCGTCCCGGTCCCGCCTGTCTGTCAATTCGGCAAGTGGCGCTTGTCACGTGAGATGAGGCGGGCGGGCGGGCAGGCTCGGTCAAGCGTGAGAGAGCGCGCGCCGTCTCTGTCGCTCCGTCGCCTTGCTGAACGAACGCCAAAGCCCGATTTACACTTTGTCGTTCTTTTCGAAAACGGAGAATTTCAATTCAAAGTGATTTTTTTCCAGTCCCAGATCAAATTTTTACCAATGCAAATTCAAGGTAAAAATTTTGATCAAAGTCAATTAAGGAATTTTCCCCCTATTTTTCAAGTTGGATGATCATTTTTTGTCCACTGGTAGAATAAAAAGTGCAGAAAAAAAGTGTAACACCCCATTTTCCTAACGTTTTCCGCACTCAACGACGTTTTCTTCGCAGTGTGCGTGGCATTGTAATGGTCCCCCCATGTGTGCAGACTTCCTGTCTCCTCCCACGCGGAAAAAACGAATTCTCTAATGTTTCCGAAATGGCCGTTTCCCCTTTCACCGCGAAATCGGCGCGGCGCGGTGCGTCGGTCGGTCCGTTGATGGACCCTCGGGGAACGGCCGCCCGAACGGGGCCTCCATTCTGTCCATTTGGTTAATCAAGTCATAAGTGAAAGAGCCTCGCGGGTGTTTCGCTATCGGGTCCCGCGGGACGCGTCGGTACGCGTCGGCTCGGCACGTCCTCGACGTCCTCGTGGCCCTTCGTTATTATTTGCTTATTTTGGCGTGCGGGTCGCGGCGCGGAGGGGAGGGCTGCCTTCCCACGCCGCGCTGTCTCTCTCGCACCCCCACGGGCCTACGGGCCTACGGGACGCCCCTCGGGTGCGACAGAGACAGAGCGACAGACCGACTCTGGGGAATCAGTTTGCCTGCGAGCCTGTCAACACGCAGGCCGCGGCAACACCGCTGATATGTTTCAGTTCAGTTCTACTGTTTTTTTTTTTCAAGCTCGCCGTTTAAAAAATAATCTTTGCAATTCCCCCGAAAACAAGTAGGAAAAAAATGACCTCTGATCTTCGGATAAATTCCGAAACCTCCAATGCTGCTGTTTTCTAAGAGTTTCCGGCAGGTACAGTGCAAAAAATTATGTCATTTATGTCATGCCAGGGACTTCATGTCCTTTCAGAGACTTTCCTGTTTCTTTTAAAGACGACTGTTGCCAAAAGGTTTTCGAAAGGTCCCGGTGGCAGCCGCCTGCGAACTTCGGGGCAGGCAACCCGCGGGCACCATAGTCGAGCGCGCTGCCTACCCGTCCGACTGCAGGCGCTCTTTGACCTGGAGGCTTCGCCGCTCTGTCTCTCTCGCACTCGTGGGGCGTCCCGAAAGGGTGTGACAGAGACAGGGCGACGAAAACGACTCTCGGAACCCGCCTGCCCTTCGGCCTTCGCCGGCCTTCGCCCTTCGGTGTGCGAGCTTCTCCGTTTTTCGACGGGCTTTGTGTGCCAGCGCCGTGACTGACAGACTGACAGTGACAGTCAGCTAGAGTGTCCACTCGGTCCAGCCCGGCGGGCAGCCCGCGTGCGTGCAGCGGGCCCACCGTTTGCCGCTTATGCAAAGGAGGTGGCAACTCTATATCGAGCCGCGCGGTCACCGCCGCCGCTGGGAGAGGCTCCTCGAAAACCAGTGGAGTGACTTTGCGTCTCGCCGCCCGTCTGCGGTGGCGGCCTCTTCAAAGCAGAGGCCTCCTCCTCTCCTTGTCGACTTGGTCGAGTCAAGTCTCAGACAGCAGACTGATTCCGAGTGTTGTTTTTGTCGCTCTGTCTCTCTCGCACCTATCCAGGAGGGCAGAGAGACAGAGCGACGAAAACGACTCTCGAAATCAGTCTGCTGGACTCGCGGTGAAACGCGTCCAAGCGGCGCACAGTGGGCCAGAAGACTAGTTGAGGTGGCCAAAACCCCGGACGCTTTTTGAGCCCCAGAGCCGCTAAATAGGACTCGAACCGAACGTGTGACCCCACCAATGAATAGTTCTCCGAACGAGGAATCCATCGGTGGGGTCTCGATCAGCGACTCTGGAGCTGAAAACGCGTCTAGAGCTTTGGCCGCCTCCACCGGTCTTCTGGCCCACTGTGCGGCGCAAGAAGCGGTGGCGGGCCCCAGCGGGCAAAAGTGCCGTGCGTTTTTCCCGCCCCACGGCACCGCTCGCCCTAGCAGCGCTTCCTCCTCTTCCTCTCCCAGCGAGGGGCGCGCGTGTGGGTGGAAAACATCAGTTGGTCGCGCTGATTTCCTTCCCGGGGAAGTCCTTCTCGCAGTGGGTGAAAGTGACACTACAATCATCTCGGCCGGGTCGCTCTTTCCCTCGCCGCGTGGGGCTGCTGGCCGAATGGGCGTACCTGTTGAGGCTCCCTCCGCGTCCCCCGTGGCACAGTGGGCCAGAAGACCGGCGGAGGCGGACAGAATTCCAGACGCGTTTTGAGCTCCAGAGTCGCTAAACAGGACTCGAACCGAACGTGTGACCCCACCAATGGATTCCTCGTTCGGAGAGCAATCCATGGTGGGGTCACACATTCGGTTCGAGTCCCATTTAGCGACTCAGGAGATCAAAATGCGTCCTGAGTTTGGGCCGCCGCCACCGGTCTTCTGGCCCACTGTGCGTGGGGGCCCCGAGGGCCGCGGGTCGGCTCGGGTGGCCATTTCCCCACCCCTAACTGAATCGCCCGGTATTTTCCACATAACGGCACGCCGCCGGGGCAGAAAAAAAAACAACCGTTCGTTTTGCTCGACCGCTCGGCGGCCCCGCCCCCGCGCGCACCAAGCAGCGAGCAAACAGATTTGTTTTTAATTCGGTTTGCGATTGAGCGTGTTGTTGTTGTTGTTGTTGTTGTTGTTGTTGTTTTGTTGCTGAAAAGAATTAAGGGGTTTGCTTGACGAGACGTGAAGAATGATTCGGTCGGTATCTCCGGCCGTGTTGACACCTCGGACTGTTCTGGCGACTCGAGCCGAGCCGAGCCGAGCCGAGCCGAGCCGAGCCGAGCCGAGCCGAGCGGCGCGATGACTGAACGAGCCCACAGTGTAAACCCCTTGGCTTGGCGCGAAATTGAGACAGAGTCCAACGGCGGGGGTGTGGCTGGCCGGCAGAGGCGACTGTCCCTCTATGGCGCGTAAAAGTAGAGGACCAGGGGGAGGGGGAGGGGGCCACGGATTTGAGCGAAAAAGAAAGGCGCGTCTAAGCCGCCATTGTGGCGCTACATGAAAGGCAGTGCACCTTATGCAGCCGCCGCTGCAGACTGAGAGTCGTTTTCGTCGCTCTCTCCCCCTCGCACTCGCGGAGCGTCCAGTACGGGTGCGAGAGAGACAGAGCGACGAAAGTAAACAATCAGTCTGCTGCGTGCGTTGCGTTTGAGGCTTTGATGACGTCATACCCGCGTTGTGATTGGCCGGCCGCGCTCCCGGAATCGCCTGGCCACGCCCACTACTACCTGGTATCCGATGATCGTCGCGCGTACCGCCCCGTACCGCCCCGCACAGCCCCGCACCGCCCCGCACCACCCCGCACCGCCCCGCACCGCCCCGCCTGCGTCACGGTTATGATGACGTCACAACGCGCGAAAACGAATTGGCGGGAGAGCTTCAGTGGTGTCAACAAAAAAGAGACAAAGGTGTTACTGATTTTCCGCCATGATGTACTTGCCTTTTCAAATGTACTTGTTTCTTTCATGTAGTTGATTTTCCGATCCAATTGAATTTCTGATGTACTACAATGTACCTGTTCTGTTTTGTTTTTAGTGTCATAATAGTAGACGTCAAAATTTTTGAGGAAAAATATATTTAAAACGTACACGGTGAAAGCTGTTCCTGGTTTTCCCAGGAACCCCCTGGAAATCGCCTATGCCTTCACCATTGGCCTAAGGAAAACCAGGTTCCGTTTTTACCGTGTATTTTGTAGGCCTTAGGCCAGCGGTTCCCAACCTTTTTCGGTTCGCAACCCCAAATTTGTAGCGAAAAATTTCCGCGACCCCCAGGAAAAATTTCGCGACTCCACGTGACCCCTCCTTTAGCATGCCTTTGGGCGATAATCCGCTTTAGTTTGGAAGCAGTATTGTCTCAAAGTTGATCAAAACCGTCACAAATGTCTTTGATAAATCGTGTTTTAGGCCGACTTTAAGCAGTCACGGCATCTGATCCAAGGCGGTATTTCGTCCTCCCCCAACGGGCAATTGGTCTTTGGACCTTCCTTTA